GGGGGGGGGCAGGGGCTTACTTTTACATTTACCTGGGAAATAACTCTAGCACAAACCAAGAGAATTATACCACTGGCATCATTTAAGTCATGAAATGAAAAGAGCTATGGTGGAAAACTGCCCATATATCCCTAAGTTGGCATTTATGAAAATGGAAAAAATATTAATGAGTAGATAATTTCTAGCAGCGAAAATGCATAGGATATATATAAAACCAATAGATTATGAGATTTTGAACTGCTGAGATATTAGGTATTGTTAACAGGATACTGCAAATATAACCATATTCACTATATCTATGAAAGTGATGGGGTTTCCCAGACATAAAAAAAATCTTTCAACACTTTCCCATCCGAGGACCAACTTTTCAATAAGCTTTTTTATTCCGTGATGTAATATACAAAAACAAATCGTATTCCGGAAAAGTGGTCCTCCTTTGGGAAAGTGCTCAAAAGAATGAAAAACAGGGATGGGCGAGTTTCTTAAACTGCGACAGGTGTTTCTTGGGTTAAAACAGTTTGCATTCCCATCTTCGTCTATGTTCGATGTAGCCGAATGTGTAACACAGTTAACTTGTGACCAGATGAAGTGAACGGTGCAAGTTCGAATTGTCAAGGTTCCCTTTTTTTATACTGAGGCGTGTGATCTTTTTCCTTAATTAAGTTATAAAATATTTTTAAAATCAATGGTACATTATATTTATATTTTAATAGCATACCTAACATAACGTCTATGGAATCATGTCAAGAAAGCACTGTACACGTGTACAGTACAGCCACGCTTTGTAGATAAGACATCATCTAAAAACTATTTATAAATTGTTTTACCCTCCAAATGGCCCTAGTAATTTTATCTATTATGTAAACACAAACAAATAGTGCTGAAATTAAAAAAAAAAACGTGTGGGATTGTTGTGTCAGAATAATAAAATGTCAAACAAAATATATTAAGTGTTGTAAATCGCAAATGTATTACCATAAATACGGGGAAATTCATCGTTGAGGATAGTCTCATTTGTTTGAAATGCAAGAAGACGGCAGCACAAAGTAAGGAGCGCAATACCCGTGTTAGACCTGCTATTAAATAAAGATGTTTGTTTTGTAAGAAAGCAGGTAACGGCATGACGCAGGCAGTAGTAATGAAAATTAAATCCTCTCAAAACTTGTTGGTAATGAGTGTACGATCTTGTGTTACTTCATAGAAATAACGCGAAATAAGTCTGTATCGTGAAACGCATGTATCGATAGCTGTAGCCTTGAATACAGCTGTTTACATTAATCTATTATTAAACACAGGATTCCGATAGAGCTATTATACCTGTATTAAAATACCTGGGGACGCGTCATAACAGCACACGGTGGCACAGCGGTATCAGCTTTGGGGAAATAGGCATAGCAACCCGCCATAGCTCTTAGAAATTAAGCCCATTTTATAGAATAATCTGTTAAATACCTTTTATGCCTGATTCCAAGTAAATATCACCATGGCAAGCTTGTAAGACATGTTAAGTGCATAAACAACTAGAACACTTCAAATGAATTGAAAATGGCCGTTTTTATTAAAAACGACATGTTTATATAAAAACTTTATCTTTTAAAGTTTTTGTCCAATGTACTTAAAAGTCTTAGATGGGGTAAGAAAACGCCACAGAGATTACAAACCCTTGGGATTATATATAAACTGCAAAACAAATATTTTATCTTTTCTACCAACTGAAATGTATTATCACTATAGCTAAATATATAATAGATATCACCTTACATCATATAACTGTAACTTGGTTAAGGTGGCTCTACCCATCGTACTTTGTGTCCATTTTTATGAAAATGCGCCGACATCGTAATTTTACACTGATAAATCATTATAAAAAAAATAAAAAATGTTTGTGTTTTTTTCGTTTGTTGGTTGCTTTATTTCTACATATATATGAATTAAATAAAACTCTTTCTGAATTAGAGATACATAAAATGTAACTATATTCGACTAAAATATATCTTCTGCCTTCTCTCTTTAGGTACATAACCTCGGGTGGAAGCTGTTCGTCTAAAGAGTTAGCTTTACGACTGGTCCACGCTAAATGTATTACTGCATATTTGCTTTCCGGTATTTAGATTTAATTCAATTTCCCATTTTGGTATTTAGAAAAATTATGAACAACTATTTTGAAATAAGAAAAAAAATGGACTTAACACCTGGTATATGGTGGAGAGTGAAATATTGCTAGAAATATTTAGTATTCATCGATCTCCATGGAAACGTTGTCTTCTTCTCATTAAGAACTGTCACCCTTGACTCCATCTAGTATACATTATCTAGAGGACACTAATTTGACATAAATTTATAGTTCCCCAAGGAGCTGACTTATATCGAGGTAAATACATATAGCGGTAAAACATGTCAAAACCCCGTGTGACTGTAGAAATATAAATTAAACAAAACACAGAAGACTAAATGTCGCTAGTACTTCCGCCCATATTTGGGCTCATCAATGCCGCTAGTACTTCCGCCCATCTTTGGGCTCATCAATGTCGCTAGTACTTCCGCCCATATTTGGGCTCATCAATGTCGCTAGTACTTCCGCCCATCTTCGGGCTCATCAATGTCGCTAGTACTTCCTCCCATCTTTGGGCTCATCAAGCGATTTGAATTTATAATATTTTATAATAATTTATAAATAAAGTACACATACTTAAGACGTCAAAAATAATGACGTCATACAAAAATTACACATAATGCGGACGTCTAGAAATTGAGATTTACTTACTACACATATCATACGTTTTAAACGTTTACTATTCATTTGAGCATTTATGATTTCATTGACGCATTTACGTAAGTCCATTCATTGTAATCATTTTAAGACGCCAGAATGTCTGGACGTCCGCATTATGTGTACTTTGTTTATGATGTCATTACCTTTTTAACATACAAGTAATGACGAAATGTTTTCTTATTACTGTACGAAAAGTCATTTGCATGACTATAATAAAACCTTATGTTTAGGGATCCCTGTCCCATCGCACTGTGGTTTACAGTAACCTCCCATTAACTTCCGTTAGGATATAGCTATACTAATAATAAGTCCTGGGCCGTTTAATTTGCGTTTAAACGGTCAAACCGGTCGGACCACTGTTGTTCGTTTATTAAATAAGGTCGGACC